TTATGCTTAAAAATTAAATGATGGACAAGCAGAATTATTAATGTTGTCAAAGTTTAATGCTTGAATAAATTAAGGTTCTAATGGAAACAAAAATAAGACCTTCAACACGATAAATGTAATAAGTTTAGGAGTAACAAAAATATTTTTGTAAAATGACTAAATATTACCCTACTTAACTAAAAAACATGTTTGACATGGAACTGTTAGTTTTTATGGCATTTTATCACATATTTGTAAATAATATCGGATTTTTTACCCCATAAGCCTCAAATTAGATGGCCATAATTTTGATAATAGCGTACGATTATATTTTGATGATGCATCTAGTAATTAATTTCAGAAAATGACAATAGAATTGAATTGTTTACTTTGCAAAGAACTTAACACAAAAGCTATATCACTTGGACCACGGTGAAAGTCATGAAGCAAGCTCAAGCATGTCAAATGAAGTTCTTTAGAGCTAAATGGATCTACAACAACTAGTTTGAAGGTTATTAGGAGTCATGTGAGTCTTTAGAGGTCATAGATTATAACTTGCACTTTTGGCCTAATCTCACAATCAAAACAGTATTTTATTGATTCAAAAATAGCCAAAAATAATGGTTTTTACTTGAATAACTTTGAATTTTGAGAGCACAATTACCAAAATGAGAACTCATTTTGTGTGACGTTTAAATTATTTATGTAAAATTGAATTTCTATGGTACTTCAAATTTTTTTAGGTAATTAGCTTATACATTCAAATAAAACTTTAATTTGATCACCATTATATTTAAAATGCTTTTTAGCGCAAGGGGTATTATATATTATGATTTTAGCGTTAAATCATTAACTAGAAAAAGAAAAAACGCACTTCTAACTATTTAAATATCATGCCATTGCTCTACACCTTCAACAACCGCAAGTGATTGAAGTCATAAAATTTACCAACTCTTCACATCAAAATCTCGACAAGAACAAAATCTAGAACACATTTTGAAACCTAATAGCTCTTCTCTCAAGACCCAACAGCACATATTGGATCAATTAAGTTTAAAATGTTATTTTCTGCCACCAAAAATTAACAAGCACCATTGCATATATCTCTAACAAACATTCTAATTCCTAAAATGAACTCTAAGCACTATAGCATGTGTCTTACTCTAAAGAGAAGAAAAATCTAATGCTAAAAAAAGGAATTAATTCACTTCTTTCCAAAAACTCTCAGAGTTAAACCCTTCTTTCAATTTTTGAAGATTGAATTCATTTTTTCTTCCAAAGTGTATGAGTTCTGCTTTGCCAAATCATTTGCAAGTGTTGGAAGAGTTGTAGGATGATAGTTATAGGTTTTAGGATGAGCATTATAGGTTTTATGATCACAATTAGCTTTGATTTCAATTTTCATTTTGATAAAAAGTTTTGAGTTTAAATTACAAAACAAGATTTTAAATTTGTTTTGCTAAGAGCTTGTATGTTATCACTTTATTTTTTTATTTTTCCTTTTCTTTTTTTTTAAATATGTTTGTTTGATGTATTTTTTATTTTTTGCTAAAAATAAATAAACAAAATAACAAAATTTTTAAAACACAATAAATTTTAGATATTTTGAGTGTTTTTAAAAACAACAATATCTTAATCAAACATGTCAAATATGTTTTGTTTCAAATCAAATCAAAAGAAAAAAATTTAAAAGTTATTCCAAATGGCCATATGCCTTTAGAAATACTTTGTTTTTGTAAACTAAAATTAGATAGTTCTTGTTGGTTATAAAAGCACAAAAGTTATTTTGAATTTCCCCAACTTTAAATAGGACTCTAGATATTAGAATCCATGTTCCTTCCTTGCATAGTTGTTTTTATTGATTTGATTAGCACATTTACAAGTTACCTCATCTTCTCTTCAGCTTACAAACAGCACGTTTTAATTTGTCAAAGTGAAAATTGAAAGCACCAATTCATCCAACCCCTTATGTAACATCATCACTCGACATTGACACCAACAAAATAATTAATATCACAATGACAAACTTTAATTGTTAATGATTATTTCATAATTAAGTCTCCGTCGGTTGAAACTGTTAACCATATTGATATTAAGCTACTGTTTCATGTTCATAATTAACGATAGAACTTCCAAACTTGTGCCCATTAAAATTGTTAACAAGTCTCTTATTGGTAAATTAGGTACAGCTTAAACAAAAGTTAAGGCCAAGAATACAAGACAGTAAGACAACTAAGTAGGAATTTTAAAACTATTAATTTAACAACTAAAAGTTGAATGTATTATTTTATGAATCCTTCTACTAACAAGTAATAGTTATAAGAACGTTAGTAATACTTTAAGCAATTAATTCAAGTTAAGTGTTTGACAACTATAATTTCATAAATTTAAGTATGTAATCATTCATCAATAATGCCGACATAGATTATAAAAAGGCTTCAAGATAAGCATTATGCTCAAATTGGATAAGCATCTGAAATATTTTTAGGAAATTTTATCGCCTTCACAAATTTGATAGGATTTTCAAGCCTAAGCAAGACTTAGCTAGCTCACCTTCCATTAAACTCCACCTAAAAAAGTAGGAATACAACCAAATGCTGTTGCCGATACACAAAGCAAGCCCCATATTGGTCCCAAGCTCAACTTTAGATTGATTGAAAAACCGAATACCTAATTTCAATCATTATTCGTAGCGTTTGTTTATTAAAGATTAACACCAAAAGTGGATCCCTAAGCATGTGCCTTGCAAGCTCAAGAGTTTGATTTGCTAAGGCATCATTATGGTACCAGGTAAAAGATTTGCCTGATGCAAATGTCGAGGCAATGCATTGAATTCCTATAAAAGACAATCATAAAACTAAGTTATTGTTGCTAAGATGAGAATGCTTAGGTAGATGAGTGGCTTGAAAATTAGAGACAAAATGGAAAACGAATGTATCTATGAAAGGATTGGGATAGCTCTAGTGGCAGACAAGATTAGAGAAAATCGTCTTAGATGGTTTGGTCACATTAAAAGTTAACCATCTAATGATTTAGGGCCCGTTTGGAGCAGCTTAAAACAGCGAACGACGTTTTCAAAACACCGTCCTTCCATTTGTTTTGCACGTTTGAACCACGTTTTTGAAATCGTTGTTTCTATTTTACGAATAACGTCACCTGTTGGATCATCCCTACGGGTCGTGTTTAGTTATGAATTACTCTACTACCCCCTCCCAGATTCGGCATTGCTTCTTCCTTCTCCCGTCGTTTGCGATTTGGGACTAAAAGAAGCTCGCAGAGCCGCTCCCTGCATCTTTGGCACTCCTTCTTCAGCACTGCTTCTTCGGCACTGACTCCGATTTCCAGGGCAATCCTTGCCTGCATACCTTTAAAAACACCAGCATCAATTCCAACTCTTCGAATTTGCCAATCTCGATCTCAACTTGACGGTCTATATCAACTGCGGTATTCCGCTTGCTGGCTTAGCGGAGATCTTGTGCTTTAATGATCTCATTGGGTTGTGCTCGTATTATAAGTTGGACACGGGGTCGTCATCATTTCTGCTGGATTTGTTGGGGGTATGTCAATTGAAAGCGGCGGTGCCGACGAATCAAATGGCGACTGCGCCGTTGAATAACAGCATGGCCAAGTTTGGGGAGGCATTGCAGAAGGGTTTTGGATTGAAGTGGAGTGCGGGCTTTTAAAAAACTTTCTCTTTTCCCCCTTTTAAGCGCCGACAGGTATGCATTGATTCAGGCGGGGTTTGTGGTTATAATTCGTCAAAGTCGACTGATCCCATTTGCTTCTGCCCCAACAATACAACACTCTCTTACGGACGGAGTAAGTGATTACTTTGCTTCTGTTATTTTTCACTTGCTTTCTTTAGTTTTTCTTTACTTTTTTCCGCGTGATCCTTTGCTTTTTTATAAGAAAATTTTAGTTTAATTAGCCTAATCTTTTGGCAAATTTCATAACATTTTCTATGAGGCCTTAAAAATTTGTGGTATGAATGACAGGTTAATATAATTAATAACATTTGCTAATGTTCATAAATTATTAACGATTTCTTCCAAATTATTAGGTAAGGCGTATGTCATTTTTGTACTGTTATGAAAAAAATTTATTTGTTCTGAAATATCTAATGTGTAGTTATTGTCATTTTGTTTTGAACAACACAATTGTTGCGTGCCACATTGGTTATTTATCCAGAAAAAGTTGCAAATAAGTTGTCTTCCAAACACACAAACTAAACAGCTAAGCAGTTTATCCATAACAGGGGCAAAATAAGCATTCATTCAGAATCAGTTGTTTTCCAAACGCTCAAACCAAACAGTCAGTCAGCTTATCCGGACCAGTTGCTGATCAATAAATTATCAGGATAAGCTACTTATCTGGATAAGTTGGATAAGCTGCAGCTGCCCCAAACAGACCCTTAGTTAGAAGAGTAAATGTTTTAGAATCGACTTGTGTTCAAAAAAGGTATAGGTGGACCTAAAAAAACTTGTTAATGTGATATAAAGAAATATCTTAATTTATTGGAAATAAATGAAAATATGATGCACAACAAGGCACAATGAAAAAAAAAGATTTATGCAGCCAACCCAAGTGGTGGGATAAAGGCTTGTTGTTTTTGTTGTTGTTATTGTTGAGTGTGCATGTAAGCATGCATGTTTTGCTCTGGTGGATTATGAAATAGTTAGTGCCCAGAATGGCTACATAAATCAATCTGTGATATCCACTCAAGAACATAACACAGTGAATTAACAACCTGGATATCCTAGCCCTGCAAGTCAGATCCAACCCTTAAAAGAGATTGCTAGCTTAATCTTATATATGTTAGTCAGTTAAACGACCCTCAAGAATCTTCATAGTTTGATCTTATCCCCTATACTCTACATTACTTCGGCTCTTCAAGGCTGTGTTTAAGGCTAAACATGTAACAGCTGATGGATTTTGTGTAGATCAAGGTAAGTTCACCAAAAAAAAACAAACAAAATGGGCAAAAAATGCACACTGAAATAGAATGTACAGGAAAAACTCACCTTTTTCGTTAACAAATACATGTCCATCAAAGAACTCGGCAAAATCAAAGACATCTTCAGGGTTCTTGAAATCAATGTAAGCTCGAGAATATCGTTGATTCTTTTGGCTGCAATAAGCATTGCAGGCATTACAACACAATATCAACGGTAAATAGAAAAACCTACATTGAAATTGAACTACCGATCAAGAAAATAACAACAGGAAGCAATACGTAATGAGCTAGGTTGTCTTATTGATCATGATCAAGGGTCGTAGTTTAACAGAAAAAATTCCCAACCTGTCCTTCACCAGACGGAAGCAAAACCACTTGTACCTTCCGGAAAACTTTCCGTCGATCTGCTCCATAAGAGCCGGCTCACTAAACGACGCCGGCAAGTGCCGCAGCACGACTTTCGTCCTCTCCAGCAGACTCTTCATCTCACATAGACCGAGGCAAGAATACACGGTAAAATAAACCATATAGGGGACTATCCCTGCTCTCGCCGGAAACACATGGCCTGCGTAGGATTCAGCAAAAATCGGGGTTCTTTCTCATTCAATTAGGGCTTAATCCGCTGGTCCGAGCAAAAGCGAAGCAGTCTGATACCAGTCAAGGGAAACCGTCACAAAGAGAGTAACCGAAATTTTTCCCCAGCGCGCCTATCGCTCATACAATACCCTCGATGCTGCGTACGTGTCGAGGCCGGAAAACTTTCGTCTCACGAGTTAGACGAGTTGGTCTAATATGCGGCAATTGGGAGTTTATTGAAGTAAATTTGAGAAAATTTTGAGAGTTTATTGTGGTGTTATTATGAGTTTATTATCAGGATGTTATTATGAGATTATTGTGGAGTAAAACTCGAAAGTTTATTGAAAGATTATTGAGAGGTTATTCTGGCGTTATTAGAATTAATGTTTCAATAACTTCCCAATAATTTTTATAGTTTCACTTTAATAATCTCCGCAGGAGGTGGGTCGTTATAGCACACATGACGGCATATTATTAGAGTATGCACGTAATGCTACATATGCTCGATATGTAATAATTTCAATTTTTTTTGATATTTTACTCCTTTAAATCAATTATTATTTATAATTATGTTCGACGCAGCTCCCAAAAGGATTTATTTGTAATCGGGTTGAATTTGTATTGAGAAAAGTGTTTTTGGTTAGTAAAATTAAAATTAAAAAAAATTAAAACTTTTTTAGCAAAATATTTACATTTCCACTTCGCAAGTTTGGAGGTTGGATTTCCTCATATTGAGTGCTACAGATGCATACCATTTTTACTCCAACTTATGTGGAACTAAAAAAGATGCGCATTTACTTGCCTAACACCAATTCTTGTGCATTAACACCTCTCAACAGGGGAAATGTTTCAATACGGAATAAGCACACATCTCTGCATGTGTACTCCATTAACTCCACAATACCACCAAAATAATATATGAATAACATCGAAATGGAACCCACGAAGATTATTGGAAGGTTATTGGAATTAATACCCGAATAACATTCCAATAATCCTTCAATAACCCCGAATTTGAGGTTATTGAGAAGTTATTACGCATGCAGAGCTGCGTGCGTATTCCGTATGAAAATATTTTCCTTTCAGGGGTGTGCCACCTTATGGAAAAAAGCTAAGCACCTTTTGGGAAAAAATTAGAGGGTTTTACATACCTACCACCCAAGTCTTATATATTTATATATGTAATATCACTTTAATGGGCATTTACTTAAGTACCAAAATTCTTATGACTTACATATTTAACATTTAAATTTTCTTTTTTATATTTAAATAAAACAAATCTTTTATGTCATATAAAAAGTTTCATTATGTTAATTTTTATATATTATTATTTAATTATTTAATTATTTTGAGTCAAAAAAAAGCCAAATACGAACAAATAAATCTCTATTTGTGTTCGGCTCTTTTATAAATAGAGCTAAGAAAAAATTGGTCATGTTTCGCTCAGTTGCTTAACGAATGAATTGATTACAAGCTACTTAATGAGTCGAACATGAGTTGCTTACGAACAACAAGCTCTTTTGGCCGTCCTAATGAGAGTTTACTTTGGAAGCCACTTTTAATTATTTGAAATAAAAAACTAGTATTTTACTAAATTCTTTCATTTCTGTTATGCACTCTGACATGCCTAAAAATGTACCAATTTTTATATGCACGTAATGCTTATTTTTTAGTGATATTGCACTTTAAAAGAATATATTTTTTGTATTTTTTATTACTGGTATTATATGTTATGCAACTGAACCAAATAAAGCAAAAATGGAGGAAATTTAGAGTCAAATGGAGTAAATTGGGTTAATGGAGCTGTTGGCATCAATTTTTGGATATCATAGGTGTAGGGTGTCCACCTGTAATCGACGAAAATTAGTTATCGCATCACGCACAAATTTGACTCGAATTGACCTGAGTACCAGCGAGCTTGTTCAGATGGCCCCGAACGCCGAAAGGACCACCCGAGTGAGTTCAGAACATCGATTCCACTTGGAAAAGACGCTCGTTACACCAGAATTTCGCGTGCGGAATTAAAATATACAGATTATCATTTTTTTGACTTGATAGTCGAAAAAGTGGTATGAATGACACCAAACGCCAAAACGGACCACACTAGTGAGTTCAGAACATCGATTCCACTTGGAAAAGGGGCTCGTTGCACCACGATTCCGCAGGCGGGCCAAAAATGTGCGAATTATCATTTTCGTCAAATCATTAAAAAAGCGGTCCAAATGACCCCCGGACGACTAAACGGACCACACTGGTGCGTCCAGAACGTCAATTTTAGCTAAGGGAGACGTTCTTTTTATCGTGATGACGTGTTCGGCGAAAATGCGCGGGGAGAGGTTAATTGAATAATAATTATTATTATTATATAATAACAATAATAATAATAATAATAATATTATTATTATTATTATTATTTATGTTTTGATTTGCTTGCATTAGCATTAGCATGTTTGCATGGATAGCGAGCCAGGTTCATTAGGAGATTGACTCCGTGTTGGTCGTGATGTCTTAACAAACATTGCTTGCTGGGTTGATCCCAGTGAGCAATGCGAGTTAAGTCATCGAGATTGACACGAGTATGACTGTGCTAAAGATCTAATAGATTTAACTCGTGTCACTATTCTTCGTAACACTCTTTAGATCTTTTAGATCTTTAGGATGGGGCCGATATGATGACCCCGTCAAAGTCATACTATACCTAGACTTACCCCTCACTTAAATACTAGGTTAACGCACCATCTGTTAGATGATGTGCTAGGCTAAGACTTAGGGTGCTAGGTAGTCTTTTTAATACTTGGTTATTGTTCTCTGTTGGATTGTTTGCCCTAGCCAGATATCTTTCTTTTGCATTATGCATGTGATGTGACTGCATGTTGCATATGAATGGTAGTGTGTTAAGGCGTTCTTCTGCAGGGAGCCATGCCTATTTTCATACGGTCAGATATCTTTCATTTACATTATGTTTGTGATGTGACTGCAAGTTGCATATTATGGTAGTGTGTTAGGGCGTTCTTCTGCAGGGAGTCATGCCTACTTTATAGGGTTCTGAGACGTTAGCACAAAAACCACGTGGAGGGGACCAGGAGCAAATGCTCGTGCCCCGTATCTTAATTCTACATTTTATATTAATGTATAAGATTAGGACCGGGCATGTATATGCGGAGTCCGACCGCCTTTTTTTCTTTTCTGGGAATTGTTGCCGACTTAGGATGCAATTCACGAATTGTTGACCGGGGATCTCAGGACGTGTTGGGTCGACTACCTTCACGACCAGGTAGACTTAGGGTTCTAGTAGCTGTGGATGACGGGTCCGTGGTACCCCGACCCAGTTATCTCTACCTTTTAAGATCACTCTACCGTCCCTTTTGTTGAGCCCTTTTGAGCCCTATCGCTCCTTGACTTGACTGATCTCACCTGTCCATTTAGGATACAACGATTTGTCCTCTGCCCTTATGGACCAGACGTGCTCTGACGTGTTGGGATATCCCAGTCAAGATGATTTAGGTTAGTTCGTGCGCCCCGTGTACTGATTAGCCACTACCCATTTGGGACGTGAGAGACTCACTCTCTGTTCGATTGCTTAGCATGAGCTTTGAAGCATCATGATGAAGCACTGGGACTATTCCAACATGGAATAACCTTCCTTTGATTGTTTATACCCCAGGTCTAACATAATATGAAGCGAAACTCCTTTTATCGAGAGTATTCTTGGGTTTCCCCCAAGATGTAATTAAACAGTAGGAACACGTTCCTCTGAGAGTGCTCTTGACCAAGAACAGGTACATACACCTAACACTCTGGTTATGGGTAGTTTATGTAGATACTTCTTTTGCGGATATTGGTTTAAGGTGCCTCTGCTCGATCTTGTTTGGGTGAGCAGTAATGATTTCTTACCATCTTCCTTGCAGGTGCTATTAGCTCCCCCATTTTTAAGGCATGACTCATGATACGTTATGTGCATGTGAGTTTCCCCGCTAACACTTGTTTTCATGCAGGATTGAGTCTTTTTCTTTTCTCTATGTATTTTTAGAGTCTAGGGGAGTCCCGTAGTTGAAATAAGATACGGGCATGGGTTCTGAGACGTTAGCACAGAAACCACGTGGAGGGGACCAGGAGCAAATGCTCGTGCCCCGTATCTTAATTCTACATTTTATATTAATGTATAAGATTAGGACCGGGCATGTATATGCGGAGTCCGACCGCCTTTTTTTCTTTTCTGGGATATGAGGCACCGGCCTATTTATTATTTTGATCTGACTTGTTTTGCTTTCTTTATCATGTTGCATGTCTGCACTTGCATATGTTTTCTCTGTTTCTTTCTGCGATTTATCTGGGATTTCACAATGAAATATAGGCTCTTTAGGACTTAATTCTTAATATTCTATAAATTCCTAAATAAAATATTCAAGAAAATTAAAATTTATGATTAAAATATTCATGATTTAAAAATTACAATTTTACTTTCCTGTACATAGTAATAGGGTTTTCACAATACTTGAAACTGCTTTAGATAATTGCACATTTGCACTCATATTTGCATAACCGAAAAAGAATCCCCGTGCTTTCTCAACCTGACTATTCAACATACTTTTATATAGGTGGTTGTCTAGTGCGCCAAGGGTGTTAGAAGGCTCTCCGACCCAGAAGGGATGTAAGTCCTTTTGTTTAGAGTGTTTCCAGCTTTGTAGCTGAACTTTCACTTTTTCTTCTTTCCTGAGGCATCCTTGTCACTTCGGCAGGTATAAGTCTCACCTTTTAGAGCTCCAGCTTATAATCATATGATAGTTTCCTTTACAGGTGGTTGTCTAGTGCGCCCAGAGTGTTAGAAGGCTCCTCGACCCAGAAGGGGTGTAAGTCCTTTTGTTTAGAGTGTTTCCAGCTTTGTAGCTGAACTTTCACTTTTTCTTCTTTCCTGAGGCATCTTTGTCACTTCGGCAGGTATAAGTCTCACCTTTTAGAGCTCCAGCTTATAATCATATGATAGTTTCCTTTACAGGTGGTTGTCTAGTGCGCCCAGAGTGTTAGAAGGCTCCTCGACCCAGAAGGGGTGTAAGTCCTTTTGTTTAGAGTGTTTCCAGCTTTGTAGCTGAACTTTCACTTTTTCTTCTTTCCTGAGGCATCTTTGTCACTTCGGCAGGTATAAGTCTCACCTTTTAGAGCTCCAGCTTATAATCATATGATAGTTTCCTTTACAGGTGGTTGT